ATGATTCTACGAATCATAGGACTGTATTAATTAATATTTTATTTTTGGAGTTAAGTAATACTATATAAATAAATAATTTATATCATATTATTTTTAAAGATACTTAAAATAAAATAGTTGCTTGTGTATTAATAGCATATTAGTTAGTACAAAAAGTCAGCAATATTTTATTGATATACTTTTTTTTAAATATTATTATTAATGTCTTATTTTATATGAGGTTATATAGATACTCAGTTTACAACAATTTAATAATTTAACAATACCTATATAAAATAAATATCTATTCAAATATTAAGTCTAAAACTATACAAGTTATTAATTTATAAATGTTTAATTTGTTGACAGTTTCTAAAAATAACAATAGCTCTTCAAATACACCAAATAAACAATCAAAGAATATATTATCAAAAATGGTTGATCAAGACTTAGTATTACAGGTAAATTTAGTGGTTGATTCTTAAATAGGTAATTAAAATATATATATATATAATAATAATTTTAAATGTTTACCTTTTTACAGGAAAAATTAGATAAATTAGAACAACAAAAAGTATGTTATACTATTTTATACAGCTTGTACAATGTTTTTTTAATTTGAATTACATTTATCTTAAAATTCTTACTTTTTAACAGAATTTAAGAAAACAGAATCTCCTTAATGAAGAAAGAAATATCAAAGAATGTGAAGAAAATAAAATTCGTCTACATCAGAAAAATAGCAACAATGATAAAGTAATTAAGATTATACAAATAATTATTTGAATAAGTATATTCACATAGCTGTTTTAGAAAAACTATTAGAGATGCATCTATAATATATACATACATTACAAAACATAATTAACTCATATTCTTATTTTATATGGTATTCTGTTAACTAATTCAATAGATAACAATTTAATGTTTATGCTATATAGTATATAGTATATAATATAAATGAAGAAATGTAGGTTTTAGTTTCCTACAATCTTCCTTTATTAATTTTGTATTTTACTTCATAAAAATAAGATGTCACTAAATTATGTTTTAAAAAGGTTTTTGATTTGTTTTTGTTTGTAGCTGATTCAATTTTTATTAACTGATGAAGAAACTACCAATCAGTTAGTATCTTCAATTCAAAAGGATAATCTACTAAAACACAAACAATTTTTGAATCATTTAAAAGATGGTACTATTTCAAGTAGTGACTATTTAACTCAATGCTCTACCTGAGTTGTTTGTCTTGTAAAACAATGGGGTTCTGTCTCAAAAATGTTATCATTAAATTAAATTTTGATTGAAATGGTAAAGAAATAGTATAAAATATAATTTCCCCAGAGTGATTTGTGTTAAATGGTCATTAATTATTATTACTGATAATTTTATATGATTCTATGTTTATTACAACTTTGTTTATTTGTGTTTTCAGTTGAGAAAGCATCAAAAGAATTAATAAATCATACTCTTAACTTAAGCCAAACATTTCACATGAATTTTTATGAAAAGTATAGTAAATGTGATAAAATTAAACATATCAATCACAATGATGAATTAAAATTAAGAAAGTAAGTATTTTCAATTGTAATTAAATCAGTAAGGGTGGTTGGAAGCAAAGTATTTATTTCATGATTTAGATTTTAAAGCCTAACGAAATTACGCCCACTTAGAATAATCAGACTTGAATTTAGTAAAATTAATTGAGTAATTGACATATTTTCTAGGTTATCGTAGGAATCAAGTTATACTTCTTTTAAAATTATTTTTAAATTCCAGTATGATTTACATTTTAATTTTTACATTTATTTTAGTATCCTTTTTAATTAAGTTAGACAGTTTTTCAAAAGTCAACTTCCACGATACCATAGGAAAAATAACAATGAGTATAAAATAAATTTTTATAGAATTAAAATCAAATCATTGTAAGTTGGTCTATTTTTGTGATACTTTTAATTCTAAATTAATTGAAATTAGTTTCTCATTGGAATGAAACATTTGATGTTATCAAATGCAATTACTTGTGTATGAACGTGCAAACCATTAATTGATTCCTTGAAATGCCATGCCACTACGCTAGTGCATCATTGTGATAGAATATGTAGTGGTAGTGAAGGCATGCCATACACAAATGTTTGTTTACTTCTCAGTTCTCATACAACAGCAATATACAATTCCACATGTTGAACCGATTGCCTGTTGTATATTTCTTAATAGCGGTCCAATTCCCTTAAGTATATGATTGTTAACATAGTTATTTCCATATAAGTTTATAAAGCAATATTTCTCTCAGAGTATCGTTTAAAATAGTGTTTTAAGTGGTAAAAAAAACAAAGATATTGATTTACAACTATTTTATGTTTATGAAAATTATTTATTTTATATTTTACAGAACTGATAAAGAATTTACATTAAAAATTGAACAAATAATTGAAAAAGTAAATTTGCAACGTTGCTTACTTGTAAATAAATTGTCAAATGATGATTCATATAAAATGGAAAAGTTGACTAATCTTCTCAATACAAGCAATTGTTACCGTCAAGTTCTAAAAGAACACTTGAAGTCCATGTATAATCAGCTCAAATATTTAACTGCTATTGAATTACAAAAGCAAAACTCTCAGCTCAATAAGCAAATAGTATGATCAAAATGTATTATAATATCCTTTAAAATAGTTTTTTTCATTATGAAATAATTGTTTCTTTACAGAATAATTTATGTGATGAAAGAATTACAATTACCAAATTGCTTGTAGATTTTATTGATAAAAAAAACCAAAATCAAAAATATTTAATTCAAGAATTAGAAGCTCAAAATGTTGAATTCGTAAGTAAAATTAAAATAATTTTTAAGGTACATAAAAGTATAAATAATAATTAAATAATTGCAATACTGAATAGGGAATAAAGAGATCTTGTAGGTACCTATTTGGCACTGAGCTGAAAGTTCACTTAACTTTGTAAAAGGTGGGAGTGTATTATTGCTATACATTTGTATAGGAGCCTATAAAAAATAAATTATTAGTGTAATTAAATGAAATATGCGCTTGCTATCAATTGTCATTCACCAATTAAAAAAAAAAATGATCTACACAAACAATAGATCTTAAAATGCATAGAAAATATTTTGATGTGTGTTGTAATGTGTTACATTTTTTACCAACTAGATAAATCTTTCAATGGCAAATGAGGTCACTAGAAACTTTTTGAGCTTCCTTTATTACTAGAATTTTTTATTGTAAGACCTTAACATACAACTCTCATAATTGTTAATGACAAGCAAAAAAAGTTGTAATTCATAAGTTTTAATTTAAAATTTCTCTTACAGTTTAAATCCTTAATCAATTAAATTACACATCGTTTTTGTATCTAATTATTCAAAGCTCATCCAAACAATTTCTTATCTTGCGTATTATATTAGTGTTCTTTATATTTAGATTTCAAAACAACCAGACCAAGTTCTGTTTTCTATTATAATACTAAAAAAAATGTATTTATTATTATTGGTTTTTTTTTTAGGATACAACTACAAAATGGTTATCACAGTATTCAAGACTGGTTAATGATATGCCGTCTGAGTTAACATTTTCCAAGAACACAATTGACCCAACATTATTACACAGAGTGTGTACAGCTGGTGGTGGTCATCTTCTGTTATTTATTTTGGAGAATGATCTGATATTACCATTGACAAAAGAATACCTTTCAAAAGTAATTATTGTTATTATTTATATATATTTTCGGTATCTATTATAAGTGTGTTTATGTATTAGATGGGTGTTAATAACTGTGATGATCAAGCAATATTAATAAATACATTAAATTATTTTCCTATACCATCTGCTCCAACCGAAAATGAGTTTCCTCCATCTGCTCCATTTTTAGAGGATGTTGAATGTATTATCTGCATGGAAACAAAAGTAATATTTTATACTACTACTATTAATTCTACACAGTTATTTTGTACATTTACTATTTACTAATTTACATTTGCGCGGGGTTCCAAAGAGGCCATTGCTTCTCCTGCGAATTTTTAACTGAATTAACTTTAATATCAACGTCACTAAAATTATTATTTAGTTATAAGTAATTCTTACATCTTTTCCTGATGAAATTTAATACAGACTTACAGTAGAACAGTGTGTAGATTCGTGGTATAAATAAGCAATACCTTTTAAGTTATTAACTATAATTAATCAAAATAATTTTAAAATGTTCTTGATTTTGTCAAATTGTCCAACAACTTGAACTCTAAACTCTTAGAAAAAAAAATTGTGACTGTATTTTAGATATTTTTTTAATGCCATAAGAGCAACTTATGAGAAATCTCCAATTAAATATTCAAGTTTTTTACTCAAAAATAAGTTTTATTAAATCTAATTACAAATATCTTTAAATAGCACAAAAAGAGCAGAAATATTTTTAAAATTTTATCATGTCTAAAAATGCCAATAAAAATATTTAGTGAAATTGAAAGTTTCTAATCTCTATGGTGATTGATTTTCGAATAACAACAAAAAAATCTAATCAATTCCATGTTAATTTTGCTTATAACATTAACTCATGTTTGAAATAATTTATTTTTTCTAGTTTGACGTTTTGTTTATTCCTTGTGGACACTTGTGTTGCTGTTGGAAGTGCTCAGAACAAATATCATTGTGCCCTATGTGCAGAACTGAAATCTTACATAAATTTGATGTTAAAAATATAACCTGACTATTACTTATATCTGTTTTATCAATCTTAGTATTGCAACTATTTGCTAGTGTTTATCTATTATTATTATTATTATTATTATTATTATTATTATTATATAACATATTTTATAAAGCAGAATTAGCTTCGAATAGCATTCACAAAACTTATTTTTTGATAATAATAAACACTATTATAGCTTATATAAAATTATATTTTCATAATATACTATTGTTATTTAATTAATTCATGTTAACACATTATAATACATTTATTTTTTTTACTATTCTAGAAATTACATCATTTTATAATAAAAACAATAAATGTTCAAAAAAAAAAAAATTAATTACTTAATAATAATCACAATTCCAGATCGTCATCGACCAAATCAATGACGTCTGCATCATCTGCATTTTTGTTCGGGGTTGGTTTTTTGGTATCCTTCTTTTGTTGTTTTGTCGACTTGAAATCTACAGGAAAAAAAAACAAAAAATATGTAAAACAAATATTTTGCAACAATATATTTTACTAATTTATTCATGCATCATATTTTTATCGGAGTGACACAATATTGTGAAATCTGTTGCTATTCTAGTGATTGGCAGTGGTCAAATATCAAATGAGTAAGAAATGTATTTTGAAAGAATACAGGAATAAAATGTAACAAATACCAATAAGCATATAATTTACATACCCACATAGGGTGTTTTGAAGTGGTTTCAAATAATTGGAGGAATGCCTTTCATAATCTATACAGTTCTCATATATCGCTTAAACACTTAAACAGTTGTACAAAATAAGTGGAGGGGTGGTAAATGTGAATTATAAAAAGTGAAGGGATGTCATCCCATCATATCCCCCCTCCACTTTGACTACTGTCTACAGTATAATTTTTTTTTAAATTTTTATTTAGTTTCTAGCGTAAGCTATGATAGCTCAACAATCATATAAGACAGAGGTATTCAAACTTTTTTATCCCACGGCTCCTTTAAGTCTTCACAAAATGTTGACGGCTCCCAAATTATAAATGACAAAAAAATCAATGTTTATATGATTGTAATTTATATTTTATAATTTATTTACCATATTACATATATTAAATAAATTAAAGCTATATTTAGCGAATGATTATTGAAGACAATTCAATGTTTCCCAACCGGTGTGCCTCAATGATATTAGTAAACGTTTTTCGTAAAAATATTTATTGGTTTTCAATTATACTTAGCAGCTCCCTTCACTAACTCCCACGATGCACAATTTGAATATCTCTGACATAAGATATACATAAGATAATTTAATATACATTTCAAAATAATAATAATGAAGAATAAAATGTATAGTATAATATAAGAGAAAATAGTTATATTGTTTTTTTTATTAGGTGTTTTAATTAGTTACTTAACAGTAATAATGATAATTATTTAGTTTCAGCATCAAACACCTGTAGGTTATCTGACAGTTAAAAATCGAAATCAAACTTTATTGAAATAATCAAATAGCAATTAACGTTTTGCTTACAGCAGTGAATTGTGATACCTTATAGTGATTTGAATTATTAACAACCTAAAACATGTCTTAAAAATCTGTGTCCATCTATAAATTCAAATATAGAAGTATACTTGGGCAAATACTTTATGCCACCACGTAGGTGAATTACTAATAATCAAGAGCAAACGACAACATTTTTATCCAACTGGTCTTATTAGCACTACCTGCCTAGTTGATGGTGGTAGGTAAATTGTTTAATATAATGTATTGGCATACCTTCCAACAGTTGCTGTAGCGGTTCAATCAGACATTCAAAATCAACCTGTGCTAAAGCTTCCAGCACATCTTGGGCACTGATTGTCTTTTTGTTCCTGCTGGTTGCTATCGTGGTGGCTTGATTGCTCACATACAATATGAACACGGACGCTGCTCTAGCCAATGCTGTCTTGGCTTCTTTCGACACAATGATGTTGGCCGGCAACACTTCCTTGGCGATACGGGTGATCGCCGTCACCGGTAAATTTAAATCTTCCAGACGTTCGGCCATTGCGATGACCTATTACGGCAATCTGCTGTTAAAAAACTGTAGATGATCGAGACGGTACTTGTAACATTCAAAAAACCGAAATTGGCAATGCGAAACGTCGTTTGCCGACAAGATGAGTAGTGACGAATGACGACTAGTTACAGTTCACAAAGTAGTAATGAAGAATCAAGACAAAACTGGAATCTGACAAATGACAAGCGCTGTAATTTCAGCAAGTCAGTCGTGGCTTATGAGTGGTACAGTCGCACACTGAAACGCTTTGTTTACGATAACGTTAAAAATTAAAACTCGAGCAGGCCCGAAGGCGGGAACGAGTGAACGACGCGGAAACGTGAGATGTGATAACTGATAAGAAACCTCGAATGCTCGGTTGCATACATTCAGGCGCCGAACCTCAATATAGCGGCGCCACGAAATATCGAAGGCATATTAACTATTATGCATTCCACAATCGACCTGTTGAGTGTATCAAAAAAAAAAAAAAATTGGTGTTACTCAAACAATTGTGGGTGACCCACCACTCATAGTATTGTTATACCTAGTGATAAAGGTTCTATTCCTTCTATCAATACCTACCCATCCATATTTTAGGTTTTGCCTGATCATTGTGCTGCAACACTATGTATTAGATCCTATGTTTCACACCACTGCCATCGATCGTAGACAGTAGTGGGTGTATACAGTATTACAATTTACAGTAGGTATACTTGGTCCTCTAATCAGGTATCATGTACGATGTACCAGGATGAGTGATGACAGACAACAGTTTTCTGTACACAATTAGAAAACAATTTTTGTTCATGAACTTGATTTATATAAATAAACTTGCAGCTTTGTTATGCTACTTGTCTAGTTGGTTTTTAATTGAAATAGTATTACATTAGAATCAAACGCATCAACATTCAACACCCTACAGCTTAAAATTTATTTGTGTAGCTTAAAAAAAACCGGAACTATATTGTAAATATCTAACGTCTATAATATTGTACTAAAAAATCCTTGAACAAAAAAAATAAATTTTTGTATTAAAATTGATATTCAAATAGATTTCCAAATAATTAGGTTCGTTACAATTATATCTTATATTACTTAAAATATGTTTGTACAAAGAAAAACTACGTTCTGAAATGAAATATGCAGAAAGTACCTACATAACTCAGGTTGATACTTTATACAACACAATATTTTATCCGATTTGATTCATCTTGTGTGCAAACACAGGTGCAACGTCAATTAAGGTAGGTCTTTAGTTATAACTTATAAGTGTTATAACTTATAAGCAGTGCTGGAGAGTTGCAGCATTTGATAATTATTATTTATTTTTGGCTCTAGCAGATAGTGCCACTGAAACTCATGTCAACATTATGTTACAATTCTCTCAAATATTAAATTTGAAAATTCTGTTTTTTTTTTGTACTTATATTATTTTAAAAATGAGGGTAATATTTTATTCCTATGTTTTGAATATATTGACTAGTATAGTTGTCCGCAACACATTATTATTATCATGTTTTGCGACAAAGTCAGTCGCTCACAAAACTCAGACGACATTTGAACGATACTTTAATACGTGACTCGAGCTGTAAATATTATTACATTTTCTTATTCTTATTTCCACACAGAGTAGGATCGAACATGGTTATATTTATAATACGGCACTCCCTATATACCTAATGAAATGCAACCCAATATACAAGAAGTTTCTTATCGCTAGTCGTACAAAAAGTCACATAGCTTTGGTCACTCAACTTCAGGTACGTGTTATTTCGATAGTGTCTTTTCAATGATAACACCGTTCACTTAATTTTTCGGGGTCTCGAAGAGAAGTGGTAACTGATAGTTAAAATATGAGAAGTCAGTTCATGACCTTTATATACATAATATTATGTCTGATATAATATGTTCCTGCTATATTATAATTATTATAAAACAGAATAAATTTCCAAACGTTTCCATAAATATTATTTGTACATTATTTTCATACCGATTGGTCGTTGTCTATATTTGATTCAATAAACAAGTTATGAAAGCTCACTCTATCGAGTGTCAAGCGTTCTCAATTCCTAGCTTCTAAACGTATTTTAATATACAACGCAATAAGTTATAATTCCATGTACAATTCATGTACAGTAATTACGGCCAATAAATAAATAAAAATCAATAGCTGTAACTATGTAAGTATAGGTACTGGTAAATGGTAATTACTAATTATCGGACGGATAGGTACAACTCGGATACAAGCATTAAGCAGTGTTGTAGACGTATATGTTTAGAAACCTTAAAGAACCTACTATAATTAAAAATAATGAGAGGTAGTGTTTAAAACAATAAAACATGTATTATAATGATTATCACAATGTTATACAAACACCCATTGCAATTTTATTATTTTATAAGGTAATATGTATGTTACAATATGTAATAACTATTGTTCTTAGATATTTAGGTATCATTGAAATCTAAATTGTGTCAAAATGCTGAAAGTATAAAATAATATTCTTACACTTACACAATCTTACAACTTGTACATTGTCAATCTAGTCAACCATTATTTTTAAAAAAAAACTGTTCAAAACCGTATACATTACATTTTTAGTAGTGGTTATACAACTTGTGAATAAGTAAAAACTTTGTTAAAAAAAAATTTTTATCTATCAACAAGTATTTACAAAAAAATAGGCATTTCATTATTTATTTCATATTTAAATATTTTTTTTAAATATGAGGAGAAAATGACTGCATTAAAAAGTGTCCCACTCGACCGATAATATTTGGCAGGAAATTATCCACTTACCAATTTTTATTACAGCAGTCAGCTGTTAAGGTTTTCATCCTGATAAAGAAAAAATCGAAACAGCTGTAAATTATTATTAGTACCTATAGTTACCGTAGTAGTATAACTTATAAGTAGCCCAACTTTAAGAAAAAAAAAATTATAATATCATTACAAATTACAACACTTAGGTAGGTACCTACTACCTATATGGTTTTAGTAGTACCTATATTTGTCTTTTTAACATTTTAAAAATAAATTATAAGTTGGCTCGCTCTAGATAAAATATGTAATATATTATATGTACATAATATATTAATATGTTATATAGTTACATACCACATGGTACATAATGTAGAGTATGTACATAAACATGGTACTTTCTACTCTATCTATATTAATATTTATTATATGAAATCATTATATTTTATTTTCTATTGTGAATTAGTGAATATTATACAGGGTGTTTCGCCAAGCATGCTCACCCCCTTTTTCTTTAATAATGTAGTTATTTAAAATCCGAATTTAGGATTTTTTAAATATACTTAAAACCCATAATTTCAAATTCTTAAGATTTTTTGTACTGCTTAAGGAGTGTCCTGTGAAGATACGAACTTCTGTTTTTTAAATAAGAACCCACATTTTCAACTGTACATTATTCAGAGGATAATTTTTCTTAAAAATTTGAAGTAGACAATAGACAATTCATATGAGTAGTTTTTGAGCTATTTAACTTTGTGTTCCAACGATAAAAGAGTTATGGCGATAGATTTATATAAGATATAGCTAGGAGCTATGAAGATTTAAAAATATTAGTCATTATAATATTAATCCATCGATATTAATAATTTGTGAAAATTGCCCAAGTATATATACCAGATGCTATTTCATATCTATTTAATATTTATATAAAACCAGTTAATGAGAAACTACTCATTCGAATTTTGAATGCGGTACATTAAAAATGTCTTACAGTAAAAGAGGGGGTTCTCATTTGAAAATAGAAGTTTGTATCGGCACAGAACACTTTTTAAGTAGTACAAATAAATTCAAGAATTTGAGAAAATTGTTTTGAGTGTATTTGAAATCTCCAAAAATCAGAATTCGAGTGAATTTATTATTAAAGAAATAAATAAGAGTGAGCATGCTTGGTGAATCACCCAATATATAAGTAATAAGTACACTCTCTAGTTCTTACAGTTATAACTTATTAGTGAGTAAAGTTTAAATTTGTGTTTTCTTTTTGTAGTGTTTACAAACAGTATGCATACATATGTTATGTGCATTTATAATTTTAAGTTGACCCGAATAAAATGTTTATGATCTCATACCTATTTGAATTAAAAAATGTATATAACAGGTAGGTACTCATATCTATCGATCTATGGTTATCTGCCGAGAGATAACTGCAGTGATACCTATACTATCTTATCGCCCTCCCAAAATTATTATTGACTCATCAGTGTACTCCCATTTTACTAAAAAATGTTCGAAAATATTAAAGTTACACAATGTTCTTATATTCCAGACTCCAGTGGTCAAAACAAATACCACAAACAAGAAATAACCAATTTAGTTTTCGTTACAATCATAATAGTCTGGGCTGAATGAGTAGGGACTGAGGGGGCTGCAGGCTGCAGCGATGCAGGGTCATCCACTCACAAATTTTGGGTCCCCACAGTTTTGTAATTATTTAACGGAAAATAGGGCAAAATGTATTTAAGTTAAATGTACACATAATATTAGGTAGAATATTTATACGCAATACAGAACTTTTTTTATATTTAAAATTAAATTTCATCAAAAAAATTAGGTATTTTCTTATTATAAGTGCTACTGTACTTGTATTCAAATAAAAGAGCGTTGTTCAAGAATCTGGATAAGAAAGGTTTTTGTGCCGTCCGTTATCGCAGTGCACACTGCACTGTCGATCGTAGGCCGTAACTCTATAATCGAATGTGTTTCTAAATATAGGTACACAAGTGGGTCGGACAGACTTCTAGTACAAGACGTATAATACTATAGTATTATAGAAATCTGTGGTCAGACACTGTACGTAAAAATTGGTGGTAAACGGTAATACGACGGCCAATGACGAATTTTTTGTCAAAAACAACAATTAGATTAGTTTGATCAGTACAATATTATGGTCTCGTTTTTGAGACCTTGCAGAGTAGATAGTAGACAGTGGTTTGGAGGTTCGGAGGTAGGTACCAACTACTACCAAGTACAACTAGTACTAGTAGAACAGCATTACAGCAACAACATTTGTACACGTTACTAAGTTTAAAGTATACACCAAGTTTTGCTGTCTTAATAAATACTTCTAGTAGTTGCTTATTGTTATTTAGTGAAATTTTTATAATTTATTATTTAGCAAATTAAATAGGTATAGCAAGCTGTAATTATTAAATGTTATGTATTAATCAAATAATGTATTAACGTTTTTATTTGTTTGGGGCCCCTAAACTTTATACATATTCCACCCTTGATGTTGCTATAAGTTTACCTTGCAGTCAATAAAATTTGTTATTGAGTTAGGCATAAAATGTTGACCTTCAATAGGTCAAAATATGAAATTAAATGGCTCACAACTATGCTGAGAATTAGATGACATAACTACATAAGAAAATTTTTTTTCATGATGGAGGTACAAAATGAAAAAAAAAGTTAATTATGATTAATATATATACCTAAACAATAATAATAATTTTATTTTACGCACCGTCACCAAAATAAAAGTAGAACAGTAAATAAAGAATATTACAATAATTAATAAGTTAATATAAGTTACACATTTAATATACCTAATGGCTAATGGCTAATAGGTATATTATACTGCAATAAATAATAATTAATACAATATAGGTACTAATATAATAATTAGTGATCAATAAAACAATATCTAAAATTAATTTTAGTTTATTTATATTATGATAAGAAAAGTCGATATTATAAATTGTATTATAGTTTATTAGCATTTTGTTTAGAGCTCCAATCATATATATATTATATACTAGCTAACCTGGCAATGCTTCGCTATTGCAAGATTTCTTAGATATTAATTTGCTATTTATTGTCTGGATGTTAAATAATTATTATTATTTTAGACTACTTTTAGTCACGTCTCTGCAGCCATAAAAATTTAGCTTTCGCCACCGCAGATGACCGGGCAATACAAATATATACAAGTATTAAATAATTAATAAGTATTATGCTATATTATTTACAAATAATACATTTTTTATCAATAATTAATGAAACACCATTGATTATAAATACTAATAATAGATACTCAGATTAAATTAATTCTTTTTTTTTGAACTAAATAATTATTATAATTCTTTATTATTCTACGTCGATACCGATCAGCCTCGAACTTAAAAGCATCTGTGGTTGTTGAGTTTGATTGTTATTTATTTTCACCCAGCTATTTATAAGACCATTTCTTACTAAAAAAGTTATAGGTATACAGTTTACACGGTTGTTTTAATTAATAACAACTAATTATTTAGTAACTTTATCGGAATAAATTTATGCCTAAAACCTTTTCTCTGATTTCCTCTTTGATTTAAAAAAAAAACTACATGACGATTGGATAAGTAGTTCGGGAGTTTATCCCGAACAAAATAAAGCAACTTTATTTTATGTAGTAGTATAGATTCATAAAGAATAGAAAAACTATATTATATTGAGACAAATTTTAATATAATTTGTACAAACACGTAAAAAAATGGTAAATTATGTTTTATTGTTTGTCCATTACCGAATAAAACTGCAAATTATAGGTATTATGACGTAATTTTATTATTTGTATTGTTTTGAGGGCCATTCGGTTTTGTTTAACATTATGAAAATAGGCTATTCTTCGGTCAAAATCAAAAATAAGAGCTAATTCAGAATAGCTTTTATTTGGTTTTGACATTTCACATACTCGTATTTTATTTTTACCCAGTTGATTCTAATGAAATTATTTTTAGTTTCACAGGGGATAAAAAAAAAGGTTTTGATGTTTGAACATACCTACCAAATATATTAGTAGACAATAATATTCAATAATTTATCATAAACACTTTTCTCATTTCTTCAATATTACACGATAACATCCAACGCGATCAGCTCCTATTAATATTGTCCACCTTTTGTGCCAAGCTTTATATATTTATAATTATTGTTGGCTTTTCGTCATGTGACCTTGTCGGCTATGATACTTTCGGCCAATTGACCGTAAGCCTTATGTCCGTTGCACGTTATAGGATTAGACCGAATGTCATCCGTATCCCCTGTTAATATAGAAAGCGACACATTTACCGTTAGGTGACCATACGAAACCATAGTTAATGCTAGTTAGTGTGTTTGTTCCTTTCGTGTCACTGAATGAACCATATATTTATTGTATTATATTTAAAATAAATCTTATATAGTCGAATGCACAAGGAAGAATGAATATGATATATTGTAGAGCAGCGGTTCTTAACCTTTTGTTGCACGCGGACCCCGAGTTAAAAATATTATTTTAATAACCAAATATTTTCACATAATGTAATTTAATATCCACGTTTATTACACAAAAGTTTGCTTTGTCATTAAAAATTATGTACAAAAATATCTTTTAAAATAAAATAAAAAATAAATAAATTAGTGCGAATGTATTGATGTTGCATTTCTATTTTTTGTTACTTGTTTTCATATTTTAGGCTCGATACTGCATAGTTTTAATCTCAGATCTGATTCTATATTTTGTAACCGTTTTCTTTACTTATTCTTAATGTACACCAGAGAAGAGAAAACATTTTCGGTTAGAGAACAAATGATATTAAAACTTGCAGAGCATTTCATTACATAATTTATATTATTAAGTTTATATTTAAATTATTTTATACGACATCCTAGGTTGAATTTGGCTCTAATTGTTTGGTGGCAAAAATGAATCACCTTTTACTGGCCCACTAAAAATTATAAGTTTGCCCTCTCAATATTATTTTCTGGGGGGCAACTGCCCCCTTGTGGCTTCCCCTACCACCAAAATGCCACCTATGGCAACTTTTACAACCTGAAAGATGATATCGTCGTGGACATCTGACATGAGTGTCACGGTCACCCGAGGGGGGGGGGGGCTACAGGTTAAGAATCGCTGATATAGAGTAGGATTAATACAAAATGTATAGTTTATACGTTTATACTATCAAATATCTTATATTTGAGTTATTATGTTCAAATATGCCAGGTACTTAGGTCATAGAAATAATTACTTTCTATTATGGGTAGAGGGTACTTAGAAGACGGACACATTGTTGTGTAAGTTCATAATCAGTAGACAGTAATAATGATATGTAAAAATGTACAATAACTCTTATCCTCGCGACAGTGCTGTAGAAGTTCCGATACTCAATAAGGAGCAGTTGCAGCCCCATGGACAAAAATACACTTTTATTCAATTTATATGGGTACTTCAGCCTCCAACTAATCTCATACAATTACTGGTGATTTTTTAGGTGACAAAACAGGCAGTTAGATCTCCATTAAGATCCCAAAATAAAGGTACTAATTAGCCTCTAAGTTATTCAACTGAGCAGCGGCACAATTTTCGTAAACGACGAACAATATTATAAAAATTACCAAATAATTAATTTACCGATTAAATAAGTTTACTGTTTATGTAAGTATAACGAACGCACTTACACAAGCTTGACTTATTTTAGTCATTTTTATTTTTATTATCATTTTCATTAACTTTTCCACATTTGTTGAAATGATTAGCTTATAGGTACTTAACCATAGCATAACGAACAGCAACCTGTATGCATTCTACAATTCACACATAGCCCTGTACAGACCTATACCTACATTAAATATAAGTTGAGCAAAAATTACTTAGATACGACGTACTCGAACTATAGATTAAACGGGTTCAAACGAATAATATGCTTGATCCAAATTCGATTCTTATTACGTCTTGTGTAACCAATTTGGCTTGTTCGTAGATTAAACATAAATACATAACTCTGCATTAAAATAATATAATTATATTATACCTATTATATTTAATCTACGGTTTAAAGGTCCATAATCTCTATTAATTCTATAATGATTCGTTTTGTGATGATACGGTGTTATCACTTATCAATTATTACATCATACTATCCGCCGTCCACCGTCGAGTGAATAATAATATTTTATCATCGTCGTCGTCGAGCGGTTTGAATAGAAAAAAAACGAATAGGTAGGTAGAGGTAGGTCGAGTTTATTACTTTATAGTTTTGGTGTGTGTAGTGTGTCCCATCCGCGATCAGTATGCCGTTTGTGGAATCGTTGTCGAAGACCGTCATACCCGATGAATAATATAATATTATTATTATTTGATTTACGAAATCGAAGAATGTGATTTACATAAATTATTCGAATGGCTGTTGCTAGTGCATGTACACCGTCCAGTTTGCGTTCGGTCGCTGTCGCGTGTGCGATCTCGGAGGTGTCGTAGAGTCTGTCGATTAATATTTATTATAATTATTATTGTGTTTATTCAATATTTTTATAATCTTTGAACCCGCGTAAATTCGTCCGTTATCGTCGCTCGACTTTTCTCGGATTTTTTCAGTTTTTTTCCTTCCGTTGACGTTTTTAAGCCCCCCGACCTCTACCTATACTACTGTTTACTCGTGTGCAAAACCCGAAGAACATTCAACGTCCGACTGCGTGTGGAAACACTGCTGACTCAGGCATGGATACCTTCAAGGATTGCGTTCACTACTTTAAAGACCCGGAACTGGTCGCCCGTTTTCAAAGGTATTTTGGAGTGATGCGGTACGATTCGTCGGACAACGGTGTCACCGTTCCGTCGCTGGACAATGAGTCCAAGACCAGGAATGGTAATGCAGTGCGCAAGTTAAATGACGTCGATCATGCCATCACCAACAAGTTTTGGTATTACTTGTTTTTGTTCGGAACATACCTCGGTGATGAAATTGGATACGCCGTCATCATACCGTTCTTGATATGGAACATTGACTCGGCTGTAGCTAGGAAAATGGTCCTCGTCTGGGCGGCTGTTATGTACATTGGTAATAATTTTTGTTGTTAATGCATAGACAAGATTTCTAATGACATTGTTGGTTTTCATGTTAATATCTGTTCAGGCCAGTCCATTAAAGACATTGTACAGTGGCCAAGACCAGAATGTCCTCCGGTCATTAGACTGCAAACTAAATGGTCTATTGAATATGGAATGCCTTCGACCCATGCTATGATTAGTATTGCATTACCATTTTCTGTTTTATATTACATTTCAAATCGATATCAAGTACTTAATTTCATAAATTATTTAAACTACCATACATTTGTGGTTTTTAATTTTTTATTACATTTTTTTCCTTTTCAGATTGACTTCAGCATTGGTATTGTGGTAGTATTTCTATGGTGCATGTTAATTTCGCTTAGTCGTTTGTATTTGGGCATGCACACAGTATTGGTAAGTTATTTGTTTTATATTAAATAAAAAAAATACATGCCTATCTAATCTAATTTTAACGTTAAATAAACTATCATTGTTCAAGTCACAAAAGAATTAGTTGAACGATTTTCAAGGTTCATTGTAATAGCTAGGTTATCCGATTTGATGTTTATACTAAACAGTCAATGTAGGTTGTATACATTTTGTTAATCAAAACCAAAGGTAAAAAACAATGTCTTTTTGGAAGTAAATTCATTATTCAAATTAAATTTTATTGTACACCCTTCATTGTAAAGATTTTGTGTAAACTTTTAATGAATTTGGTTGGCGTAATGCACAAAAAGAATATAATAATATAAAATATATTAGTCTTGTCTTTTATTAACTATTAATTATTATGTAGTTCGTACTTTGTTACATATGAATGACTGTGTAGAAACAATTTAAAATGTACAGATACTCGTTTCTTTACTGATAGCTTAAGTTATTTAATTACCAGTAAAAATACAAAAATCCGTAGGTGGATCTAAAACCATTTAAATGCATAGTAAATTTTTATGATATGAATGTACAAATAACAATAATTTAACATTGTGTATGATGTGTTCTGAATTAGTTGATAAAATATTTTTATAACAATGACGGTTATTAACATCCATATACCTAAATGTTTATCTTTTATGTTTGAAATAACTATAAAAAGTAAATGCATTCATCAAAGGTTGGATGTTAACTTCCTATGCTTCTATCGCATTCCTTTCCCTAAAAAACTTGCATTTGTAACCAATAAATAACTTGAGAAACTAAAACATTATAGAATGAATAACTTTGAAAAAAACTAAATTTTATTAAATCTGGAATTTTTTATAAGTGGAGACAATTAGCATTAAATGTCAAATTTAACTTCCAATGATATGTCATTCAGATTCATGTTCATTCACAAATTATCCAGGATATACATTTTTTCAGACACCAAAATTTTTTTTGAAAATCAAATTCAGAACTCATAATAACCACCAAAAAATATTTTAAAATCTAATATTATAAATATTAAAACAGCTGCATTCATATTTATTATTCATTATTTATAAATTATAATGTATAATGCTTCTTATTGTGGCCTAAATGCCTAATTACATGTATATTTAAAAATAAAATAAAATAGTAATGCCACTACTTACTGAATACTAAGCTGTTGATTCAAGCTTAGCTTGTACATTAGGGTAGTTTCATTATAAATCTACATTATTATAAAATACTAGCACATTATACAAATAAATTAATCTTTTATCTTTGTTAACACATTTTACTTGGTATAGTTTATTTTTAAACAGTCTATTTGTATGTTGTTTACTAATTAGTAAGGAATGGATTTATATTTAAATTTCATATTTTTATAAGAATAAGATGTTTAAGTTTGATAAGAAATGTTTATAATTTAAATTATTTTTACTAAAATGATACCAAATTCATTTTACATATTTTGGTGTAGGTATTAACATATTTTTACATATTTCACTAATTTGTTAATATTTTAAAACATACTTTGGTCTTTGATGTTTCATAATTTATTCGTTTTTAAACCTTGTTACAGTCAATAAAAACAGCTGTGTATATCTAATAGGTACAGCAAACATAATCATCCTATAAAATCGGTATATTGATAGTATATTTTAAGTCATTTTCTTGTATTTAAATAACATTAATTTATGATGACTGATAACAATTGGTCTTTAGTTAGTGTTTAGCTGCAACTATATGTGTACAAAATTAATTAGGAAATTCTAACTAATTTATCTATTAACCCAAAATTAAAGTTTTCCGCTCTTAATATTAGTTTTTTTAATTACTATATTTTTAAAATTTATTTTTTGTAATTATACTGAAATTGTAATATTTTGATGGGTTTTTGCACATATTTTATAAATATTATACTATTTATACTTCCATAATTTTGTATCTTAATTATGTATAAATGTGGGTGTTGGTTAGGGCAACAAAACAATTTTGAGTTCAAACTGTTATTTAGGTACAGAGTTTTTATTTCTAAGTACTAAATGTTGTTATAAAGGTATTGTTTATAATTGGTATTTACGATCAGGCAGACTATACTCTGCGTCATATAACCTCAAGTGGAGACCAATTTTTGTCTAGTTGAGTCAGACCACTCCTCCCAATTTAATCGGTTCTTATTTTAACTTTTGCTCTCAGCTTTCATTTTAGATGAAAAAAATTTCATTTCAATCTTAGAAAAATCCAAGCTAGATGGAATAAAATAGTGACGCACTTGAGAATGGGGAACTTGAGGTATATTAGTCATACCTATTGTTGTTGCTGTGTGAAGCCTGCCATCTGAGATTACTCATATATGACTATGAGACAAAACATACCTGAAACTAAAAATGAATAAAAATGTATAATACTATAGTATACTACATTGGGCCAGGGTCAACATAGGTATATCATCATTCAAAATCTATGTTGTATGACAAAATTCTATTAATTAGGAATATCATTCAATTTGATTTTGAAAATCCTAAACATTTTTTTCTGCATCAAAAAATTTTGTTTAATAAATAAAAACAATAATTATCAATCAAGAATTAAGATATAATATGTAGATATCATATTATTGTATTTCATTTTATTCATTCTTTTTGTATGTATTTGATCTCTCAATACAACATTTATTTCATATCTTTTATTGACTGAAATAAAGAAATATTATTTCTATTGATTTTATTGTCTTTATAGGTATTTTTAATACTATTTTTGAGTTTAAAAATGTATAATATCAGCAGCAAACCCTGCAAGTACATACTCTAGAATCTTGATAATACATAAATACCAAAAAATGTTAATGTCATAGTTATAATTTTATAATAATACACATTAAAGAAAAACTGCATTGAAATATAATAAATTAACTTATATATAGATTTTCATAAATATTATAATGCTTTAAAATTGTTGTCCATTTTTATTCTAGGATGTGATTGCTGGCCTGCTATTAGCTACTATTTTGTTGATTCCATTTGTACCATTGGCTGATGTGGTAGACCGTTATCTTATGTATAATGAATGGACACCATTGATATTTATTGTTGTTACTGTGAGCTTAATATTCATTTACCCAACTAGTGATCAGTGGACGCCTACCAAGTAAATTATATTTAAAATAAATTATTAATGTCTTCAAGGTTCTGAGCAAGGCGAGGAATGTATTGGTCTTACAATGGTTTATTTTTAACCAGTTCATTTTGCTTCTTATTATTTTTCCTATGAATGAAAAATGATCTTTTTTTTATGTATTTAATTACTATTTATGATACAACAAATACTACAGAATGTTATAAAAAATCAGTTTTTGAAATGAAATAAGTTTTGGTGTCTCGACTAGATTGTGCTAGTAAGAAAATTAAAAAAAAATTTTTGTCTAGCTTAAAAATATACCAATATTATGTGTATAAATATAAATTTTATTTTATTCTAAACAAATTTGTTACAACTTTATTACTCTTTTATGTATACTAAATGAATATAATTCGTATTAATACATAACAAATTAACTATATTTACAAAATAAATGTAATTTAATATAGCATACTATTGGAGTACTAAATTTATTACAGTGCATTTAATTTGTTTTATTACTGATGTACGGTATTGATTTCTATACTACAGGTAATGATTTAATGATGTAGAGATAAGCTAACCATCCTATTGTTAATATTGGAAGCTAATAATTTTTGTCAGCCGCTAGGTTCACTGTATCTGTTTACATTACAAACAATGTAAACGGATACAGTAAACCTAGTGTCTGAAAGAAATTAGTAGTTTCCAATATTAACAATTGGATGACTTATCTATATATTATAAAATCAATGCTATAACTGAACATATAAATAAGTAATAACTATACATATATTTTTTTGAGTTTTTAACTAAAAAGTTGTTATAGACTATACATAAATATGCAAATATATATAAATAAGTTATAACTATACAAGTTATACCCAAAAATAAGAAATATTATTTATAAATTAATCAATTATTATGATGTTTGAGTGATATATTATTGTTCTAAATGTCAGTATATGTTTTTGTTTCAGGGGTGATACAACTCTAATTCTAGGAACTTGTGCAGGTATACTGACTGGAGGTTGGTTAATAGTCACATTAGATATACAAGATGATTATCGTGTTATGAACCCAATGAATAATCCAATCAGTTGGCCTTCAATTAATGACTTAGGTAAGTACTTACATTTTTGAAAACTTATAAAATGTATGCCTACGTTGTTTTAATTTATTTTCGTTAAATATTAATGAATTAACGTTAATGACTAGTCAATAACATTATTTCTGATTAAATTGAACAGTATACAATATTGACTAGGAAATAATGTCAAAAAATTTAATTTTTTTAATTACTTTTTTTTTTGTATTTAACTAGCTAAGTACATTTGTTTGTATGTTGATAGTTTTATTTTTTTTTATTCACAATATTTATCTATTTTCAATAAAAATATCTGATATGATTCATCTTACTATTTATTTTTTATTACCTTAAAATGTGAATGTGTTAACATTTTGAGTAGTTATAAAGATTTTGAGTATTTTCTAATTAAATTTTTTTTTTCAGGTTTGATTGTGATGAGAAGTGGTTTGGGCTATTGCTGCATAGTCTTGTTATTCTTAATTATTAAGTACATTCTGTGTGTTGTAGATAAAATTTTAATTAAATGTGGTATGAAAATAATTGACGATGAACTGAATAGGCATATTCCTCTATTAGATATTACTTACAAGTATTTGACATTTTACTTGGTATCCTTCAATATAATAGTTTTGATACCAATCTTGCAAAACTTGCTATCTATTAGAAGACAGTCATTTTGCCATGAAGCCAAGTAGTCAATTCAAATTGTTAATTTAATTTAATATTATGGCCTGTTACCACCTGATACATGTAAATTACATGCATGTATACTTTAATATGTGTCCTGTAATGATACTTAAGTTCTAAGTTCAATAATATTATTATATATATTATTAAGAAATATCTCATTTTGAACAAAATATTTGTCAACAGTCATTCTAAGAATATTATGAGTACATTATTATATACAATTTCCATGTTTAATTTAATTGTTATTATAAAATGAATGCTATAATTTTGTATCAAACCATATAATCATTAATCTTATTCCACTGTCATATGAAATTAAATGTCATTTTTTTCCATGTATATATCTCAGTAATACTACAAATTAAGTAGACCATGCACTGAAAATTAAAAATTACAATACGCGATTTGAAACATTTAAATATTCTACTAAGACTACTTAAATGAATTTAAAAATAATGATACTAATGAAGTTGTCTAATATATTATTGTTAATGATATGATGTAATATTTTTATACTTTTATAAATCAATCAAACAATTCTTATGTCTATGATTATTGTATGTCAGATTTTTTTTAGCAAATGTTCATCAATATTTGGTTATTATGTATGTGTATTATTTACATGTTATCGTGCCACATGGGTTAATCAGAACATCTCATTACTAATTAGTAATTACAGACTAAACTCTACACTGTATGGACGTATGTTAAAACTATACATCCAAACTTTAAGTTTATACTTTGATTAATATTTTGTGATTACTAGGGTGGGGATTTAAATTCAAATTTTGCTATTCTAAAATATTGTTTCCCAAGCAAAAAGTTTGTCAAAAAAGAATTTAGAAATTAAACTTTTATTTTGCATTTTTTAAACTAAAATTACTTACATTTTTGTACATTTTATAAGAATAGATAAAACTTAATAAACATGTACTATTAATTACATCTATAACATTTTTTTTCTTTGCCATATGTTTGTTCTTACATAATATGTTTTGTACCAAATAAAAGTTGCTACTTGCTGCAATCACCCACAATTATCAGATTAACTAAATTGTTGTCACGTACTTTTGGCAGATATGTATATGTACAACTGTATCAGTACTCTATTAATTTTAAATAGCATAAATAGATTTTTGTTTAATCATTTTTATTTAACATTATGGTAGAAACAATTTTTTAGGTAATTTTTTTCATTTATTTAATTTTATAAATAGGGATAAATTATAGACTACAGTACATATTTTGAAAAAAATTCAACTTTTTAATTTATTGACATGGTACTTTATTTATTAAGTTATGTTATGATGTACAAAACTAACCAAATGAGAGTAAGTTGGAGGTTTGGCCCACATAAAATTCTCTTCAGTCCTATTTTTAAGATGTGTTTTAATTATTTTTTTGTTGGTTATCCTCTTGTATTTTTCCAATGTCCACAAAAGTGGCTTGTCCTTGTATTTCTTTTTCTTTTATTATTGAAAAACTATAAAATATTCTGTCATATTTTTCTTTGATACATACGTACTTTCAAGATCTTTCCGTATTAGGTGTTAAAGCTTAATGAATTTAAAAATTAAAAAAAATACTAAAAAAAAAAAACAAACAACCATGGTCTGTTTATAGAATATAAATACTAGACTATAATAATTAAAAATATACAATGTTAAAAAAAATGAAATTGTTTTATTTAGCTGATCCTGTCCGGCACTGTCCTTGACAAATTAAATGCCTATGGATGTACCCCTTCTTAAACTCTTTTAGATGTTAACTACAAAGATTTTTAGCACAGTTGTATGACAAGTTTTTTTTTAATATTTGAATAATTCAAACACCCTTCGATTTGGAGCCAATAAGTTCTTATACCTCGAAGGACTTCGTTCTACGTTGGTTGAGGTAAGCGGAAAATCTATTGTTTATACTAAATAGTAATTAGATTTTATGGCTGGAGATATTATAGTATAATCTTGTGTCGACTATAGCTAAAATAGTTGTGTGAATGAGTAAACTCAACAAAATGCAATAAAATTCATAACATTGCAAAAAATTGCATTTAAAACTTTTAGCTATGAATTCTTAGGTACTTACATGCAACGTATTTAAAACTTGCTTAGCAATAAATTGGAAAGGTAGAAAAAAAGTTGAAAATGCAACAACATACGTGCCCTAATTATTACTTTGATGATGTTGTGATGTACCACGTACACCTGTATACTTACTTACCTATTGCTATAACTTATGACATTGCTGAGTGCAAAAAAAACTATACAAGGATAAGTAGTTGTACTCATTTATGGTACAATTATTAGAATTATGTTTTCACATATTATATTATACATACTATAGGACCTTTTTTTTTTTTCCTTTTGAAACCGAAAACGGGTGGGAACTGTTTAGCACAATATTACCACCCAACATACTATATAAGACCTAGCAAATACGAACATTCAATTTGTTTTTAATAATTTTTTTTAGTTTTATTACATTTTTTTTTCTTTGGGGTACTGTCCAAATATATGAATATTAAGCAAGAGAAAATCTATTTTTGAGTTGTATATAGAATATATATATTTTTAAAACATCAGCTACCTACCTATAATACAAACCATTGATTTAACTCTTCGACCTGCGCTTTGTTAAATTTACGTTCGATGTAGGTGCCTAATGCAAAATAAACGAGAACATGAAAAAGACAAGAGGAGAACTGTTAAAAGAAAATGTCAATTTGACGAAACTAGTAATGAAGTACCTACCTAATCACATTAATAGGCGAGGAAAATATTTTCAGGATAACTGTATTCTTCGTTATATTGGACAAATCGATTGGCTGAACTTGTAAGACTTAGCAGTTCATACATAGAGATCTATGTGTCTATGTGTTTTTTCAAAAATTCAACGACGAAACTATTTCTAAAAAAAAGTAGAGTAGCTACTAATATTGTTTTTATGCACATTGGCAATAAATTGTTCAGTAGAGCGCTGGTTTTCAGTATTGAAAAGAGTAAAAACCATATCTTCGTTCAATAATGGAATGCCCAAATTAAACGTGACGTCAACTTTCAATGTTACAGTATCGCATAATGTGGAGTTTAAGTGCTTTGTGGTATAAACAATCGACAATTAATATGGGTTATTACTAATTAATATAATTGATGATTTCGCATTAAAAAAAGTTCGTAGAGAGCTAAATGTTATAGTTTACTAATACATTGCAGGTAAATAAATATTTCTTATTAATTAAATTGTCGTACTTTTTTTCATTAGGGTGAATCCATGGTCACATAGACCATTAGGAGTGAGGTGGTGCAGTAAGGGGTTATTTTGTGTATTTTTTGTAGGTTTTTGAGTTGGTACCGTTGTAACACGTAGTAGGTATTGTGTTTGAGTGCTATGTTTTGTCACTGAAAACCCGTCTGGTCACCCATCCAGGGGCTACCGACACCGGGCGCAGCGTAGCTTCATCAATCTTAAGTGATTGTGGTCAACCCCTGCACCACACTATGAGCGTATTAATATCTTTATAATTTGTATAATTTTAAGTTTTATATAACAACTTAAGTTTAATTTAAGGTATTTCATATTTTTCATTTAGACACCTATACCTACTAAGTAGGTACTAAACTACAATTAACTTTTACTTCAACTAACTAGACGTTTGTTTTTATTTTATTTTATTTTTATATGAAAATTTTATTTTTATTTGTTGGCCTAATTAACATAGTATAACGTAACTATGCTCTAAGCTGCAAATATATGTAGGTATCAACAATATAATTTACTAAACTATAGCAACCTAATATTAGGTATGTTGTTTATTATTGATTCGATTATGTTTCTTATTGTCCGTACCTACTGTCAATTTTGTAAATCCAACTGAAATCCAAATAAACCAATTTTTCACTTCGTGAGCTGCATTGTGCGTCTGCATAATATGACGGCTAACCAAAACATGTCAAATAATTTTGACAAGAAAAATATTATTCCAACTGCATCAGGCTCAGTATCTAGTACAATACGTCAGCGTATTCTAGATATCACCAGATCGTTGATTGGAACACCAGTTTTTAAGAAAAAAAGAGGAAAGAAAGCAACACGATTGCTCAAAGTAGATCCAACTGAAATCAAAACAACCCCCATTTCACTCCTCAAATCCGGGAAAGAAATGAAAAGGGTATCTGTTTGGGATGTTAGTTCACTTGCACGTAACGAGGCCGGCGACAAAAAATTGAAAAAAGTAATAAAGTTCAACTTATTATTAGCTATTTCTTCCAGTTTTTGTCAACATATTTTATTGTGACTTTTAATAGGCTTCCGGCTATATTTGTGCTGATTGTTCATGTACATCGGCCAGAAACCAATTCGGCGAAGTGGAACCGCTACAACAATGCACAGGCAAATGTGGCATTTTATTGCATTCATCTTGTCTGGCAATTAAATGTAGGGGAACTTCGATTGCTCGAGGATCTCGATGGTTTTGTCAGGACTGTAAAACATGTTCGGCAATACCAGCCTGTCCAGTGACTGAAAGCGTAAGCATACAAATCAAATACTAATGAAAATCGTGATACCTATTAAATTTGTTTTACGATACACATAGAAGTATTTGTTAAACTGTGATACGTGTGACCGAGGTTATCATTTGCAATGTCTACAACCTCCTGCAGCTTCGGATAAACCGAAATCGGTATGGAGGTGTTCGTTTTGCTTGGATAATCCAGACACCATCGTCTCAGCTATTGAGGTAGAACCGTTTGGAGAGCTCGAGGGTAGGAAAAAGACGAGCCTCGAAACTCAAAGGTACCTATGTCAGTAAATTGAATAATATCATCTAATATTTTTGCTGTTACCTGGTTTAGATTTTATTGTTTTTGAGAAGAATATGGTTTTAATTGTTGTACTATGTTTGTTCTTAAAATTATTACACCTAGCATTACGTTTTATAGCTGCAGGGTCACCAACTAATATTTTTGGATGGGTACATTAGTAATCTGGAAATTGTTTATGAGATAACAAAATTGCTGACGCCCGTAAAAGCCAACGAACAAAAATGATGAATTACAACAATACGACATATAATATTATCGGTTTTACTATTTTTCTTGTCAGGATAAAATTTAATCGCCGTCTGGCATTTGGTGACCCTTGTATTATGGTGTATGAAGTACCGGCCGGTGGATTTCAGGGAAAATCAGGCAATTTCGGTGCACAATTTTGAGGGGCCCCATACATATTTATTTATTATTGACAAACTTAATTTATTTTTGTATGATTTTATAAACTTTAAGGTCTCGTAAAGGTCTATAAAAATTTTGAATAAAATATGATGTGTAATCATATAAAATCATTAAAATATACGAATTACGATTCTGAGTGAAGACGATCTGTATTACAAGTACCGTTTATGATATTATTGCTAGGTATTAAAATAATTAATTTTACTATTAGTACTGCAGTAGGTTGAATTAATTTTTGCAGAAAACAGCATTTAAAAATGTTTTTTTTTGTATTTATATGCTTTTTGATACATATTCTAATAACGAAAAATGTGTTTCAGTTTAATATCAAACATCCGTAAGCGTAAAAATCCGAATACTGTGAGTAGACATTGATTGTAGTGCTAGTATTTACATATATTCATGTTATATAAATGCATATCAAATTTAACTGTTTGGTTTTTGTTATTATCAGGTGAAAAATGAGAAAACTAATGAACTAAACAGTGGTGTCAAGCTGAATAGTAAACATGAAAAGAAAAAACAGAAAATTGAATTGGGATATTGGGCCGTGCGTTTGGATCGAATGCCAAACGAAAATGTGCCAAATAAGTAAGTAATTCTAAAATTAGAAATATTAAGTCTCGAATCCCGAGCAAAAACCAAACGTGTAATAAATATTTATTTCATATGTTTTTTTTTGTATTAATATGAATTTTGATTTATAATATTACTAACCTTAGTAATGAAAACTTTATTTCAGTTTAATCTCAAATACCCTTAAGCGTAAAAATCCAAATAATGTGAGTAGACAATGATTGCAGTGCCTACATTTTCATATATTCAAGTTATATAAATGCATATCAAATTCACCTTTTTGTTTTTTATTATCAATAGGCGGAAAATGAGAACACTAACAAACTAGACAACGGTGACGAGCTGAACATCAAATATGTAGAAAAAAAACAGAAAATTGAATTGGGATACTTGACTGTGCGTTTGGATTTAATGCCATACGAAAATTTGGCGAATAGTTATGACAAAATAAATTTTATTCAAATTGAAGCAGATTCAGTATTCAATGCGATATGTCTAAATCGTCCAAATATCACACCATCATTGATTGAAACAGAAATCTTAAAACATAGTTCTGAAAGGAAAGCACTATTGGTTAAAGCAGATTCAAATTACATTGAAACAAACCCCTCTTTACTCCATACAGCTGGTAGAAAAAGGAAAATGATACCGCCTGATGCAAGTGACAAAAAATTTAATAAAGTAATAAAGGTGAATTATTATTTATTTTAGTGGATGTTTATTAATATATTATTGTAATTTTAACAGGGCTCCACCACTTCTATTAACGTAGAACCGTTTGGAGAGCTCGAGGATAGGAAAAAGTTAAATCTCAAAGCCCAAAGGTATGTTAATAAAATATGGAATATTAATATAAACATTATAAAAACATTTTAACCAAAACTAATATCAAACTAGGTAATAATTTTGATTAAAAAAATCCAGTTGTTTTTCTTTTTTAAAATTGTTGATGTTAAACTTTTGTAGATCCAATCGTGGTCGAAGTCCAGAAATAAAAGAGCAAAACGCTGAGCTTGGAATACCATCGAGTTCAATGAATCGACGTGATGACCCGAAAAACGGTAATGTCTCATCTCGTGACTACTCGGCTTCAGCACACACACCCCCTTCTTCGTACATTCCGATTAGTGGTAGTGTGTGGTGGAACAATGAGAAAGCAAAAATTATTTTGCTACTTTTAATGGTGTAGACGAGGTGCAGACGGGTGAGGATCTGGTGTGTCGAATCTTAATTCATTGCATGCCGTAGGTTTTTATTTTTGTTCTTTTGAGTCAATCAAATGAATATAGTTGTGGATACCAAGTAAATAGTAGTATACTTTACCATAATATTGCATTTATTTTCCAAGACAGCCTTAACTCTTTGAGGAGCGACTAAGTAAACCCATGTAAAAAATAAGAAAAAAACATTGGTTGTAAAAACGTATTTTACACTAAGTATTACATTATAGCTTTTTTAGACACAAATTTTGAAAGTGTAAAATATTAAAATATACGTCAATACTCGATGAAATTCAATGCTATGTGAATTTATTAAATTATAATTTTCACAAAATTAATACAATAGGTTACAATTATAAAAAAGAATAATATGCTCATTAGAATATTGAAATCAATTTTGATTATTATTTAAATTGTTATTACTAAGTATTACGTGTTAATAGAACGCTTTTATCCTATTTTATTATTTAATAAATAAAAATTTGTTTAAGACAATCTTCATAAGATTAGTTGAAAAATCTTATATTTCTGAAAATTGTTTATAAAAAATTACAGGAAAATGAGTAAGAAAATTAAGCGAGATTAACTGGTTAAACTGTATTTTTAATCAGTATTAGTATTTAGTATGTGTTCTGCCATGCCATCTTACAGTTTATACATATTATTGTTTATTTATGCTGCACAGCTGCAGTTGACTTTTTTGGCTTACTAACCAGTCTTAGTATTAAATATTAAATTGATAATATTATTTTTAGTGCTCGAAAATATGAATGGCCCTGTCGTTTCTGGGGTTGTACACGACGATGTCGAAATCTGTAAGGAGACAAAAAAACCGGCAAAGAATGTAAAATTTATTTTTTAATATTTTAATATAATATGTCTTATGTTTCTAACTAATAATTGACATTATATATAGAGTAAAATTCAAGCTCCAGTTAGATGTCCAGCTACAATTCAATTCGGGGAATTTGAAGTGGAGACATGGTATTCATGCCAATTTCCCGAAGAACAAGCACCAAAATTGTATTTCTGTGAATTTTGTTTGAAATTTTCAAAGAGTAAATCAGTTTTAGAAAGACACACGCGGTGCTGTAACTGGAGACAGCCGCCAGGGATAGAAATCTACCGAAATGGAGATTTGAGTGTTTTTGAAGTAAATTAATTGTATTAGACAATCATATGAAGCAAACTATAAAGATATTTATTTATTTTTTCATATAGGTTGATGGACATACCAACAAGATATATTGCCAAACACTGTGTAGAATAGGAAAATTGTTTTTAGATCATAAAACTCTGTACTATGGGGTTGAACCATTCCTATTTTACGTGTTGACAAAAAATGACGGTTTTGTAAGTGTGCTTGTTTATACATTTTATATTGTATTTTTAATACAGTAATAATATTATTTTTTTAACTGTCTCTATTGTAATGTTTCGCTAATGTTAAGGGCTGTCATTTGGTTGGTTATTTTTCAAAAGAAAAAGAAAATGAAGAACATTGCAATGTAGCTTGTATCTTAGCAATGCCACAATACCAAAGACAAGGGTATGGTCGATTTCTAATCGAATTCAGTAAGTGAACACTATATGCATTATGCACCTATAGTCGTTTTAGTTTATATCATGTTTTATTAATATTTTCAGGTTATCTCCTATCTAAAACTGAAAAGCAACCGGGGACACCAGAAAAACCCCTTTCTGGTTTGGGCCAACTGTCGTATAATGCGTATTGGAAAGGTGTTATACTAGAATATTTAGATAATCATAGAAACAGTGAAAATCTATGTATAAATGATATTAGCAATGAAACTGGTAATTTAAAAACATTTAATTTTAAACTTTTTAATCTGAATTTCGTGACATAATTATAATAATAATAACAACTTTAATTCAGGTTTAACGGGGCACGATATTACTAATACTTTTAAATCTTTAAACATGGTTGTGGAAGTATTTAATGACATTACAATATGCATTGACTGGAGTATTGTAGATGCTCATTTAAAAAGGAAAAAAAAAATCAAAAAAATTCATATTAAACCGGATTGTTTAAGTTGGACACCTGCAAATTTATCATTTTCATCAGATGGCAAAGTTAGTTTTTCCTGATGAAAAAACAATGACATTATTAAAAAAACAATTTTTAGTTATTAGAAATTTTTTTTAGGATAGCCAAAATCGTGGAAAATCTCTTTTAATTAAGTGTATTGCATGAAAAATGCCAATGAGTCCGTCAGTCGAGATCTACCCATCGTCGTTAACGGTTGTCTTATCGCCAGTTAACCACATCGGAGTTGCGTTTTACTACCGTACTTCATTAAAGCAACAGCTTGCGGCAACGGCCGCCTTCTCAGGAAAAAATCCGGGCAAAGAAAAATTATATCTGCGTTAACTTCATCTCATCTCTCAAACCCAGGATTCAAGCAAGGAAGAAACGTAACCTTCAGTTTCAATTACTTCGAACACACACAGCAATCCAGTTTCACCAAGTCTACAACATATCATTACAAATCATCTTGTTCTTTATACAAACAATGAAAATAATTTCGCGTACGGTAACTCCACGATTATGAACGACACTATCGACAATAGTCCTATTGATAACGATTTAATTAGCTCTCCACGAAAACCCGAGCGTGTTATTACAAACACTACCTTTTCTCATACTACGTTATCCACTGCCAAACTAACATAACACAGATCAACACCTCAAGCACTTCGAATCAAATTTTGACGGCACACCGGTAATTAATCATTGAACTGACCGATTCTAATATTTTATATTTCTATCTAACGCCCGTTAAAGTATGCCATATTCCTTAGCATCAAGGATGCTATGCATATTCTATGCATTAAACCTAATGGTCATAAAAAAGTCAAAACAACATTCGACTCGATTAATCACCCCAATTTATGCCTCGAGTCACCTCTCCTCGCCGCAAACAATTTGTCGGATTATATTCCATCAATCTTAATTTTTTTACATGGATATTTGGGACAGTGTAACATGTGACATGCCCGTTATTGGTTTCAAATGTATTGTCGTCAACAGAGATTGTGACCTCACACCTACCGGAATATTGTCGAATTAAAATTTTTGTCCGTCCTTCAAAATCCGAAGTTCACTATCAATCTTTAACGTACTTTTTGATAATTCGCCGAGTGTTCGTTCGCATCTTCAATTCAACAAGTGCTTACAGTTTGGGCATATCTCTACATTTTGCAGCAGCAGTCCAGATGCACGGATGCAATACCTGCGGAGAAAGCAAACACTCCATCGACTAGTATCCGACTGCCTAAGCCACCGATCCTCGCTGCATCTTCTTCCATATTCCCTAAAATTGATACCAACCGCAAATGCTAAGAAAGGGATTTTCAACGTGATATCATAAAAACGATGTTTACCAAAAATATTTTTTTCCGTGATGCCATCAACTCCAAAAAATAAAATCAGATTACTTTTAATATTGTCAATAAATAGCCTATAGTTACCTTCGTCCCTACAACCTAGTCACCAATATTCAATTCCTATTACTGAAAACACCACCACTCTCCGAGTTAACCTAAACGTTTTTGCTATCACATTTATCCCCCTTCTCGCACTCATAACGACGATTGGTTAAATGATACCTGAACGTCACCCTATGTTCTTTGCACAATAATGTTCTATCCTCCTCATTTTTTCTAATAGCTTTTGAAAAATGTGAATCTTTAATATTCCCTAGACGTCGCTACCTTCAATGTCATGCCATAACAATCAATGATCATACAATTGCGCGAGTCTCAAAACTATACTTATAGGCCTAAGTTTCGATGGTCTCCTCACATATACCACTTAACTATTTTTGCCACTCTTTGGACTAACTTTCTTAGATCTTTGGACAATTTATGTTGGGGATCCCACCCTTCTACATTAATGCTTTTATGCAAATCTGTTGTACATTTCAAATTAATTTATTGTTGTTTTTCATACTTCTATGTCTTTAAAAACTATTTCTCATCATTGTAATACTAGTACGTAAATTGTAATAGACTGAATTTATAAACTATTTTTTATTATAGTAATACCTATTGTTATAGACTGAATTTATAATAACTATTGTTTATCATAGTAATACCTATTGTACCTAAATTGTAATAGACTGAATTTATAATAACTATTGTTTATCTTATAGTAATACCTATTGTACCTAAATTGTAATAGACTGAATTTATAATAACTATTGTTTATCTTATAGTAATACCTATTGTACCTAAATTGTAATTGACTGAATTTATAATAACTATTGTTTATCTTATAGTAATACCTATTGTACCTAAATTGTAATTGACTGAATTTATAATACCTATATTGTTTACCACAGAAATACTGTAAATTTTTATATACTGAATTGTTGTTTAATAAAATGTTGAAGTAAATGTTTATTTTGATTAATGATATTGGTAAGTGTGAAGGGTCGACGTAAGATCGATTGAATATAGATTCAACAGAATAGGAGAAAAATTGGTGCTCCTGCTGCTATTGGGACTAAAAATGAGATTTCAGATTCTACTTTTGCTGTGGAATAACTGGTCTTCAAGGAACGTTTTAAAAAATAAATAGTTAGGTTGTGTAAGATTTTTTTAGTAGGTACGTAGATACCGGAGCCCAAGGTGCCAAATGATAGAACCTGCACTTTAAGAAGGCCGGCTGAATAGTATTCTTTTAAATTTAGAAATATGAAAAAAAACTGAAATTAATTCAGATAAGGATATTTTAGGAAAAAAAGACTCAGCAGTGAAAAGATTAAATAATATATAACAATATTTACACTTTACATGACTTACTTATTAATGTTTTAATGTGAAATTTTTAATATTTTCTTTTTATTTATAAGAAAAAAAGGAGCTAATGGAATTGAAAATAATCTACTGTTGCAGAAGAATTATTTTTTCGAGTTTGAATAACGGAGTACGCCGTACCTCATATCAAAATATATTTACGTAAATTGTCAATTATTTAAATCATAAAGATGACTAATATGGTAAGTATTATACACAAAAAACTGGAATTCTGGTAACCAAATTTCACACCAACTCAATAGATATTTTTGGAGTTCAGTTCTACGATGGTTTTTATAATAGGTATATATCTTAAAGTGAAGAAAGTGCAATTAAAAATTAAAAACCTAGTAATTCACTGAACTTCGCACTGGCATATACATTTTTAATTTTTTCAGCATGGTTAGAAATGTGTACTTTAATTTAACATAAAACAAAGATAATATAAAATTGTATTTTAGCATAATAACTATCGTGATGGAGAAACGTATATTAAGGATGTCTAATATTTAACTCTTTGTACCTATAATAAATAATTAGAGATGGCAACGATATAGCTTACTATGTACAACTTATGAAGTTATGACATTTAAATCAGGTAGTTTTACTTTAAATAAATCAAATATCAATAGTTACTTGTCTGCAATATAGTCATGTGTTTAATTCTGTAGGTATATATAATAGTTTTTATTATACCCACTGTTTCATTAAATTTTTTTATAAACTTTTTCTTATTATTTTATCTTCACCGGGTAACACGTAGGTATGTACCTGTATATTATACAAACGCGCGTAGGTATATTGGGTTTAATATTAATACGATTATTAATTATTGATGATGGGTAATAAACAATAATAACTAATATAGAACCTTGTTAAGCGCTAACTCTTAGTTAATAAAATTATGACTGAACTGAAATGGAAAAAAAAACAATTCAAAGCGAATAGTGCTTTAAACCTTTAGTGATGTATGTTGCGTGACAAATTAAGCTCGAAATTGATTTCCTTACTTCCAATATACTTTGAGTTCTGGGCTAATGTTATTACAGTTATTACTTATTAGACATGTACTGCAGACAAAGACAATAATATACCTATTATTCTACAGATTCTACTATTTATTACCTCACACAAAATGCTATAGTTAATAGGTAGGTAGTTAAAAATATTAATTATTATTTAATGCTTTTATATTATAAAGTACCGGGGCGGCCAAGTAGAATTATACCTTATTCCCATACTAATTAGTCTAATTTTAGTACCCGTATACATCATCCAAAGCGTTGAAATATAACAAGTTTATATAGATATTTAAATGCTCGCAAAAAATCAAAATTTTATATAAAAAATTGAAAGTTTTGAATGTTTTGATATTAGGTAGTATATGTATAATATATATGCTTACCTTCAAGTTGTAAAAGACAGGTTAGGACCTATAAAATAGAGTGAATAAATATAATGGTATATTATATACTTACACATTTAGGGCTAGTTGTACAGTCTGTGATAAAACTCCGATTACGCTTAATCAGCTGATAACAGATATTTAACCGGCCAAATTCGGCCAGTTAAACTGTGATTAACTTTAATCACGGACTGTACAACTGGCCCTTACACGTGTTTAATTTTCCATCTTAAATTTGTCTTACTTGTTTAATTTTAGTATACAGCATATACAATGATATGTGTGAAATGAGAAAAAATTATTTGTTGTCAAAATGTCAACAATTTAACATAGTGTGTGTGTGTACCTTTGTGTATGAGGTGGTGCAGAGGGTGTCAAAATTCTGAATACGTCTGTCAGAGAATTCGTGGATTATGCTGTCAGTATTTAGGGATTTGTTACCCTTCACAAATTAATCCAATACACGAGACTATACTTATTTGACATAGATGGTCCCTTGAATCTCGATTGAATGTATGTATTGGTAGCCAATTTTATAAGGTAAGTTTTTAAGAAAAATTATTATTATTTTTTTTTACTCTTACAGTTTGGTATATATTGTCATAATTATTGGTTAATTATTATGATATATTTCTAAGTAAAAGTTAATTTTGAATTGGCACCTACGTACCTACCTGCATATTATTATTAGGTATATAATTTTAATTGTATAAAGGCACTAGTTGAAATGATCAAATTTCACCTGTGAAATAATGAACTAATATTAAATACGGTTCCATATTTACTATATTTAGAGAGAGAACACTCTCTGGGCTCCCGATATGCGATGAAAATCGATTCTCCCACATGACACTCTCTCATAGTGGAACTCGTTTCAATGATGTTAGGGTGCTCAAATTTCCACCCTACGCTGTATTTTAAGTATTGTTATATTTTTATAAAAGTATAATTTATATTAATACGTACTTATATGAATATAAATGTTATTTTTATCATTAGAATACTAGTATATATTATATTATAAAATAATTATTTAAAAAAAAGTTTCATTCTTTTTAAGGTTCACTTGTAATAGTTTGTCAACAATAATACAGCCACTATAATATATAAATAGATGATATGAAAATTAAATTAAAATTATTATTACAATTTAGTATATCACAAAACGGAAATGTATCTAAATCATTAGTTTAATTTGAATATATGCGATGTATAACACGTAGTTACGTATAATAACGCGTTCGAATTGATGTGGTAAAAACGCATACCACTGTTAAATTAGAAAATCTCTGAAAATTATTCTAGTGGTTTTGAGTGGAAACAGTTAAATTTATGCAATTTCAATGCTTGCCTTGGTCATTTTCAAGCCTTTATATTTCAACAAATGTAATTGCGAGGGGTAGGTTTCACCCCTTAAATACACGATAACCATGCAGCAGTAGGACGGTTATAGAAACGAATATATAAGAGGAAGTGGGATAAAGAGCAAGAAAGGGGGAAAAAGTGAGCGGAGAAAACACATTTTAGTAATTTAAAAGCTTTATTCATGATTTTACAAGGCCTTGCCCACATTTTCATTTGAACATTGCCCTGAGACTACAAAGCTTGTAAATTATTCAAATGTTCAAAATCACAATGATGTATTATTCTATTTAACAGTGCCGGATCTAACCTTTTTGCGCTCTGGGCAAAATATAAAACTAAAAACGGCGTAGGTACCTACACATTTTTAGTGGGTATACCTAATTAACCCCTTCCGTTACCACAAGTCGGCGTGAAGACCCGATTTTGATTCTTCCACCACAACCGATAATAATATAGAATCATGAAAAAATGTTTTCTGGCTTTATATACTTGCAAAAAAAAAAACAGTGGTTATACGATCAAAAACCTATATTTTATTTGTCGACCTGTGACCTTTGCAGCAGAGTAGCTGTTGTACGAGTATTAGTGACGGCATATTCGAGGTCTTCAATTAATAATTATAAATGCTTAAATACTCAGCTATATTTGAAATCGAAAAATCGCCAAGTCTATAGGTACCAGAGATCGTCAAATGGCGGCCTTTGAAAAAAATTTATCCGGCCCTCGCAGGCAAAAGAAAAAAAAAATATAAACATCCATAATATTATACGTTTTAGTGTTGTAATTTCACGAACCGTTATCATTCTTGTTTATTGGTTTTTACCGACGTCATCAATTTTAATGGCCCACGAACCATTTCCAGATGTAATGTAGCTCTTCAAAAATATTAATTGGCCTATACTAGGGTTGGCAAATTCGTGGCACCCGAAAAATTAAAATATTAATAACATTATAATCTGAAACACAAAAATCACATTAAGAAAATAAATAATTATCAAAGTATTGTTGTTATATGCACCTATCCAACCTTTTTTTTAAAATCTTAATACATTAAATTGTACAATAAAATTAAGATAATTTTTTCCTTACAATATTGAATATAATATATAATATATATATATATATATATACATACAATTTTTTATTGGCATAAAGCTTTAAAATAATTTGGAACCCCTGGCTTATACTATTCTTTACGGAATTTATCGAGATTAATTTCTTTGATAGTAATTTTGAATTTACCTATAATCATTCTTCAACAGTGTTAACGAAGATTCTTCGGGTTTAAGGCACACGACCATCCCCGTTGTAAAAACATACTATCAGTATTTATAATTTATATACCTAGTCGAAATCGAAAACTTATTTGAAATTTAAAAAAAAACCTTTTTTTTAAAAAAAACAATTTACAAACTACTTTTGGAAATAAAAATTTTAAAAAAGGGTCCTCTATCAACGAATATAGGTCCAATGGCCTTTAAAAGTTTAAA